AATCCACAGACCCAAATATGATTTAAAATATATAGGTTGTTTTATTTAAAAGGACAAGTTGCTTGAAAACTATTAATTTGATTGAAAAGTATTTTTGCCAATTCTATTTTTTTTTCAAATATAAACAAATATAGAAAAAAAATCTATAAGAGCGAAGAACGGTTCCAAAGAACTAGTTCTTTATACCAGCGGGTAGAAACTAACGATTTTAAATTGATTCACTGCTTGAGTAGCCTATTGGTCCCAAGTACTTCTATGGCGTACCCCATTCTAGTTGAAATTCTATTACTACACTATGTTTGTTTTGATTCGCTATGAAAGTTTGACAGATAACATCAGGGGTGTGTGGATTCATGCAGCCAAAAATAATAATGATTTTCTTCGGGACCCAGTGGTCTTAGAGTTACCTCTATGTTTATACCGAATGGTTCTACAAGGTACTGTAAACTGAACTGTTTTGCCCATCTCTAGTTGGTCGGGTAGGTATGCTCATATCATTTTCGGTACATTTGACGGTCGAGAGAAGTGATAAAAACATTAGACTTGCTAATCCTGTGATGGAACGAAAGTTGAACAGGATATTGTAGGAAAACCCGAATCTGTACTGCGGATATTTGACGAAGTTTTCATGCGTTGTTAGGGATCGTCCATTAATTATGACACACTTTTAGGGGGGAGGGGGGTTTTGGAAATTGTGACGAGTCATACAAATAAAAAGGTTCATACAAAAAATGTGATAAAGGGGGGAGGGTGGATTGAAAATGGGCCAAATTTGCGTGACATAATTAATGGACCTTCCCTTATGGACGATAAAACTTATGTTCTGGAGGATTCCAAGCAGCTTCCAGGGCTGGCTCTCTATTCAGCTATGGCTAAAACTGCTACAGCTGAGTATTTCAGGACAAAGGATCGAAATTTCCCAAAAATACCTTATTTGGCAAGCAATTTGCACATGTGGCCGAAACAGTAAATCTTTCGTCACTACAGTCCACAATCAACAAGGAGATTTACCAGAAAGAGTGCCGGCAGAGACGATTGCTATCCTTCATCAAAAGTCACTAAGAAAACCTGTTCTGGCCCGATTTGACATCATGCCATTATGTTAAAACTGTGATGGAGTGGTACGAAGCAAATCAAGTGAATATTGTACAAAAAACCGCAAATTTGCAAAATTGTCCAAATGATGAAGCGGTAAAGCTTTCTGAAAAGAAACAAGGAATCAAAGATATCACACACTTCCAACAAATTTGCTGAAATAAACAACAATTGAAAAATAATGTGAAATTTGTGTTTTACTTAAATTTTGATGTGTCCGGATTATTGTAGATACAGACCTTAATGTTTTCATTTGGTGAAATCACAGGGATAAATATGACGAAATAAAAAAATAGTTTAAGGTTAAAACTTTGCTGAAGAAACTGTAGCCCTAAATCTTAGGCCAGGCGCCTATAAACAGTTTTGTGACCATAAGTTTTTTATTTCAAAATCTTCATGAACTTTTCGAAAACTGCATACAATACTGCATACGTTAAAATCTAAAAAAAAAACTGCCTTTTCGATAGTTGATTTCTGTTGAGGAAAGTACGGGGATCCACTTCTAGCAGCAATAGAAAGGCGATGTTGAAATGCACGTTTTGTTAGTGGAAAGCGTAGGGAAAACGCTCCTATAGTTGCGGTATGCTAGAAACGTTAGACTAGGTTCCTATAGATGTGTATGGAGTCTCGATACACAACCTAGTGCTTTTAACGTACCGCAACTATACGAGCGTTTACCCTAATTGTGTGAAATACAACTAGGACTGATACTTACATATTTGAAGGATGATTTTTTTAAACAACGTAGGGTGGGAACAGCTTCAGCATTGAAATCCGAAAAGATTAGCACACCTTTAGCAGAACAGTTGCGGTAAGTTAATTTTTTTTTGAAAGATGTGGGTACTTGTATCCAATGCGAGAAAATACGTGATTTGATGTGTTTACAAATTAACTTTTTGAGAACCGTTTGTAAAAATATTACTTTATGATTCCTAATCTTAAATTAGGCAATTTAAATAGAAAATATATGCTTTTAATTCAAATCAATAAGGTAGTGCACTCAATTTTGGCATGATTCGATTTTGGCATGTCTCGATTTTGGCGATACGATTTTTTTTTGAGAGTGCTAAAATTATACATTTTAAAAATAATGCTACATTTGATGAAGTTATACGCTAGGGAGTATTTGTAACTTATATTACGTCATTTTAAAGCACGTTGAAGTCGATGTTGTCAACATCGAGGCCAAAATGCTATTCGGTTTTGACAACATGGAAAAGTGAATTTTCTTTAAATATTCACAAATATAATTTTTCCATAGTTTTTCAACAGGATTCAGTTAGGAAGCATGGATTCTTATTGCTAACCTATTTTAGTACTCAATTGTGATACGTTGAAAAAGGTCTCGATTTTGGCAACGTAGATGAAGCAGTTGTGTTGCCAAATACCGAGATCTCACTGTACTATAAAACATTGTAGGATACATGATTTATCCATTCATAAAAATTTAACTGTTCAATAAACATGATGCAAGCGAACCGACTTGCAGGAAATCCTCACAAGTCAGACTCGCTTCGGTGACCACTCCTACAATTTCTACGTCACAACTGGGGACGTAGACTCGATATTCGATCGAAAAAAGCTCACAGGCAACAATCCGGGTTGCCTGCTTCAGGTCATCAACGGTAACGCGCAGTTTGTTTGGTGTCACCCTAAAGATATCGGTTACGGCCGAAAATTTGTTTGTCAGATCCTTCGAAATCCGAGCAATATTCAAAGGTTTTTGGTTGGGCCGCAAAAAAACAACCCACGGACCTTTCGAGTCATCAGGGTAAGCCTTGTGGCGGGGGGTCGCTGAGATTTTCGGGGGAACGAGTGGAGTAGGGGGCACAGGTGGACAAGGCGGCGATGGAGGGGAAGGGTGCGTAGGAGGAGAAAGGGGCAGTGGTAGACATTTCACTTTTGGATAGGCTCCAGTGCTCTTGCTGGTGGTTTGATCAAGGTGCTCTTCGAGGGTATCCATTTCCTCAGAGCTATCAAGCTTTTCAAATGAGGGAGACTTTATCGACTCATCATCAGAGATGTCAAGCGACAGACCCCGCCTTTATATTTATCATCCATTGCGGTGACTTAAGATACCACCGCAACGGACACAAATGTCAAATATATGGATTGAAATTGGAAAGGAAACAACAAGAAAAGGAAGTCAACACTGTGGGTGAATTGCTCAAAGTGTTAATAAAAAATAAAATATGGGGCTCAGTCGGTAAAGGCGCAGCTACAAAGCAAGACCATGCTAGAGGTGGCTGGGTTCGATTCCCGGTCTGGTCTAGGAATTTTTCGAGTTGGAAAATTTCTCGACTTCCCTGCGCATAAAGTATGATTGTACTTGCCACACAATTATACTAATGCAAAAATGGTACAGGCATCGAAAGCTCTCAATTAATAACTGTGGAAATGCATCTTGAGCACTAAGTTGAGAGCACGCAATAAGCTAATATGCGATGAGCAATAAGCTTGAAATGCGATGAAGGAAGAAGAAGAAGCAAAAAAAACTAAAAAGATAATGAATAATAATAAAAATAGTAATGGATGGGAAAGGAAATTCAACACTACAGGGGGATTAGGCGAGACAAAAAAAATAACTTATCTCTATATGCCGGTATGCCGGTGGCACTGCACACCACAAGGTGAATAAAAAAAAACTCCGATCGAAATCCGAAAAAAAACAAAACTTTTTGCGGCGTCGAGAGAGTAGCGTAAAGCAAACTTACTCTGTCGAACGTTCGACTAGGAATAATTTTTTTGAGCTTATGAAAAATAAAAAATTCTGAAGTAGGTATTGAAAACCTTGAACACTTAAAAATAATTCTACGATTTTTGTCAATTTTTAAGTGTCCAAGATTTTCATTTTCCATAAGTTCATCTAATCAAAATGACATCTGAAACAAAGTTGGGGGAATCTAGAGTGCCTTTTCAGAAGAAAAAAACACTGACAAGAAATAAAAATATTTGTTAAAAAGAAAACTGTTAAAACTTCAATAACAAAAAAAAAAATTCATTTTTTTAGATTTTTAACTTATGTTCGTATGTTTTTAAACTTTTTCCATAAATATTTTTGATTGTTTCTTCTGTATATTTTTTAGTTCAGAAAATCATTTACTATGCACAAATCACATAAATATTGGGTGAAAAAAAAAGTTCAAACATTTTATTAAAAGTTTATATTCTCCGTTTTTCTTCAATTTTGAAGTGTACATTGTGTCGCAAAAGTGCCCAAACAAGAAAACCCATAACCAGGGAATGATTGACACTTAAACTTATCCACTATCTACAGCTTGACATTCGCCAAGTCGAGTTAAGGACCATAGTTAAAACATAAAAGCTACATAAAGCAACTGCGATGGTCCCATTAAGTGGTTTCCATTGTATTTCTAGTCAAATTTGTAATGTGTATTAAGTTTGAATGATCTTATTTATACATGCATATCTCAATTTTCAATTACATGCCGCTCATGGCAAGTCCAGGCATAAATCAGCTAGCCGAGAACAACACGTATTAAGTTAGGTTCATACCATTGCTTCTTATGCACCCGTTTGGCTGTTTTTCAAACTTTTCCAGGACAAAGCTTTTGTGATATCGTGCATATTTAAAAAAAATGTGTTTGGTGATAAAAACTATGGATATTGTCCTGCTTTTTCTCCAGAGTTCAAATGCAATGTCCTCCTTTTCAATTTATTGTTATGGTAATCCTACCTGAAACCTATGGCGATTTTTGTGTTAAATTTCATTGATTGGAAATTGTTTTTGCTTCAGAAGGCTTTAGACCTATATGGAGTTTTTATAAACCTAGTGCCTAGATCGTAACTGCAATACCTTTTCATTGTAATAGTAATCGTTAATGTCTCCAAATTTAATCATACCGATTTTTAGGTTGCTCTTATTAATGAACCGGATCAGAACATTAATTCTTACCATCTAAACTATCCTACTGGTGACGGAAATGCTTATGTGGTGAGTCTCTCTGCTTTGAATGTTATCTTCTTTCAAGTTGCGTGTTTTCATATTTTGATTAACATAATCACTCATCATACGACGCTTAAACCTAGTACCTAACATGCATGTCACCCATTGTTACAACTTATTTCGACATTTAATACCTGTTTATCCTGTGAACAGGATAACGGATTGCGTGCCATTAGTCCCGCCACGGTTACCATAGTTATGGATATTTTGTCCAAGCGGGAAAGCGATTCGAGCTTACGCCAGCTCGTACTGCAATGTTTCACCATGATGGCAATCATATTGCAAAAATCTAGTCCTGAACAGGTACAGTAGTTTTCGACTGCATTGCAATCGTGTAGCTAATTACCATCGCTCTAATTTTAGCGCCAAATCGATTTACTTACTATTTTTCAACTGTATCTGGGAGCCGTTCACACCTTACTGGAAACGGAACATTTCCTGCAGAAAGGATCGCCGAGGTTATATTTCGAGGTGAAAGTTTCGAGGTGTCGCCAAATGATGATAATTACATTGACGTCGGGGCTCTGACTACTATTATCGGAGTGATAGAGCACTTCCTACAGGGGCACGTAAACAAGCATGTACTGTGCAATGCCATGTTCGAAGCAAAATTTATACCCAGTCTAGTGCTGATCACGGAACGAGTTAAGGTAAGAGTTGCACTTACTCGCCGCCCACAAACATTCAAGATAGTTGTTGGCTTTTCGTTTATCTCCACAACAGATCTGGCATATCGATCATCAAACATTGGGCTCAACACTGGTCAGGAATTTCCATAAGCTTTGCAGCAGTTCTGAAAAAATCCACTACAATCTAATGCATACCAACAACGTGAACGTTTTGTTCGATGGATTGAAACTTTTCGGGCGACCGTCTCACGATTTGGTATGCGATTGTTTGTACTTTGCCTTCGAGGGAGGCGAATACCATAGTTTGAACGCTCGAATCGTTATCAAGCTGGTGGAGTGGATACCTGTGATGGCTGAGGCGGAACAAAACTACACCAGTGACGTACTGCTGAAGAAGTGTTCGGCCAGCATTCAAAGGTAAAAAAACCCTTCAACCTGTTTAAAAAACAAACAAATAAATCGACATTATTTTTTTAAGCAAACATTCAATATCGGAGCAACGGATGATTAAGTGTATCGTGGATTACTGCTTGGAAGATCAACATAAATTGTCAGCGAAATGCGCTATAAATTTGCTTAAACTAATAGAGGAACTCGCCAAGCATAGTATCCACCCGAATATCTCCGGTTGCTCAGGAACGAGGCTAACTTTGAGTATAGAAAACAGTTACTGGAAGTCATTATGAAGGTTTCTCAACAGGCTGTCACTTGGAATTACCCCGATAGAGTATCTGGATATCCAAGGTAACACAAATGGCATTACAATTCCCGAAATACGTAAATGGGATACCGCCCATGGGTTCGTGTTTCATGCTTGGGTTCGACTTGATAAAGACGTAGAACATTTCAACGACGCGGAAGGCATCAATCTGCAAAACTATCGCAGACATTTATTCAGCTTGACGACGAATTTCGGAACCGGGTATGAATTTTTCATCCAGAAAAACGGCAATTTTGTGGTTAGTGTCATCACGAAAAAGGAATTTTTCACCGCAACCGCTCAGTCGACCCACTTGCTGGATGGTCGATGGCATTCGATTACTGGAAGCGTAGTTCCACCGAAGAGATTGTTTTCCTACCATCAAATCAACGTTTATATAGACTCGGTGCAGAAGCTTGGATCAACGATGAAATATGCAGCATTTGCCGAGGTGAATATTATATGTGTACCGCCAAAACCTGCTACAGTAGATGATTAGAATTCGAAGAAATAAAAGTTTTTGACACGTTAATTGGAACACGAGCTGTAAATGGCACACTGATGGTAGTAAAAAAAATGAATAAATGCAAATTGATTTAATACTTGTTTAAAAAATAACAAACCTCTATTTTCGGCAAAAGATATCGACAAGGTATGTACGGCAAAAAATTTACGTCTTCAAAAGATCTAAAAGTTATTTGAAGACACTTTTGCTGAGAAATTTTAAATAAGAAAAGCAAAATAAAACGTTTTGTTTTAAGTCACCTTAACCCTAATTTATGAACATTACTCTAAACCGGTCAATTTAAGAAATACAAACTCTTCTCTTTCTACAAAGTTGCTTGAAATAAGCTAAGCTACAACTTTAAAAAAATGCATTATTTCTTTAAAAAAAGTTAAATTTTTGATATCAATGATCAATATCAATATCAATAACACATACAAAATAATAAGAAGCACCTTAGAATTAAATGTTATAAAAATTGTAGAAGACAAGCTTTTTGCGTTTTCGACCACTGTGCACTGTACATTAAATTTAGAAAAGCTGTGTAATGAAATAGGCCTGAAGTAGTAGTATAGACTATGTCAAGAATCATAAGGGCCTAACTGCGATGATCGATTCTCTTCACCAATTTCCCGACATTTTTCCAATACAGTGTTGTAATATGTTGTATTGGCTAGCAAAAGCAATAGCAAACTCATCGAATGGGAAAGTCGATGAAGATAATCGGTATTTTTTTTACTTTTTGCTTACCATAGGCACTGTTTTACTAATAATATTGTAATTTTTTGCTGAATGTTAGGTAATCGTTGCTTACCCATAATTTAGATGTGTGCACTTTTTGAGATTATCGATATTTTTCACAGATTATTCCGTATTTTTTTTAATGATTATCGTTTACATTGTTAGCATGCTATAATCCCCCATACACAATTTTACTCAAATCTCTAAAAGCGTTAGGTCAACTCAGGTTAGGCGACTAAAAGTAGACTTATCCACTATTTAGTTTAAAGCATTATCAATTTTCATACGGTTTCACTTAGTTTTGAGTTATTTGTCACTCACTAAAACTTCGTAATGAGTTATCAATTTTTTTTTTCAAAAATCATTGAATTTTATTAATTTTTGAATAGCTTTCAACGGTCGTGTATGCTCTGTTATGCTTGTGTAATGTACATTGCAGACATTGAGGTGTAATATGTGATTTAGGCAGCATGCACGGTAACCGCAAAATACTCAATAATTACTATAAAAGACTTAATATTGACTACAAGGTATGCATTTTCGAGGGAAACTGGAACTACCCATTAAATGAGTAAATTTTTTACCCATTTATGAGTATTTGTTTACTCATAAATGAATACTTACTACTAATTTTTGTACTTTGTAGTCATTATTGGGTATTTTGCGGTAACCGTGTTTAGTATACCTTTGCAAAGTTCCACATTTCCATAACTGTTGCACGGTCGATGAGAATAGTCAAAATTGATAAAAGTTGAGAGCACATCAAAATTGAGTTCAATTTGACTCAATTTAGCAAAAAGTCAATTTTCTCACATGGTGATGAATAATGTCTATTTATTAACTTATTAAGATAGCTATGGCGTTGTTTTTTTTACCTTATTTAATGATGTTGTCTTTTTTCCTAAAAAGTAAATGCTTATCAAATTAGGGTAGTTTCAAATTAGCGTAAATTTTTTTTTCTTAACATTAGCATTAGCATTAAGCAAGTTGCACAAATTCGTAGGTGGTACAAGTTCCAGACTATTGTTTGAGAGTATTGCCACCTCCATCCGTTACCGTTTTGTCCGAGATTTGGGATTGATCTCGGCCTCTTAGATGGAAGAAGCACTATCTCCAACAATCGAGAACTGTCCTGGCCACGCCCTTGAAACTGGTGGGGATGGGCAGGATTGTCAGTTGAACACTTACTTAAGAGAGATGCAGAGAACTCTACGACCTCTCATAAGTGTCACAGGAGTTTGGAGGTTGGTTGGTGGGGAAGGTAAGCCATAGGATACGTTCGGTAAACGTTGCTGGCAGATTTTCGATAGTAATGATTGTTGTATGTGTCAAAAAATGTGTGTGTCTGTGTGAGTATTTTATTTAATAAAAAATTTAAAGCTTTCACCAATGTTGTGATTTTTACAGCAGCTTCTTGTTCTGTTTGAATTCCATGTTTTTATCGTGGTGACATTGCCCAGGCTACGCTACCAGTATCTTTTGCTGGCGGTCTTTGTCATCGGTTGACTCGTGGAAGCGTGAGGTAGGAACTTGTGAGGACCAGAGCTGTTAGAACAACACTCCTTCCAGGTTGTCGACTCACCATTTGTAGCCCGTAAAATATTTTTTCTTAACATGGACACAACATTATACTCAAATTTGAGTTCGGTTTACTAGAAAATGGCAAAAAGAGCTTTACTGGAATGAATGAGTTAAAGTTTACTCAAATTTGATTAAATGACACTAATATTTTTTTTAGATTTTCCAACAACAGTTTACTCATTCTGCAGTTTAGAGTAAATTCAACGGAAATTTGAGTAGTATTTTTTTTCGTGTCGCGCGAACAAACTTGCACACAAGATTTCATAATGTTGTATTTGCTCGCGCACTTGTATGCAAGTTGCCCCCTTTCTGGTGCCCATGGAAAACATCATTGCTCGCGCGGATCGATTGTCCGCGCATTGACGAGTGCACGGATGGATTTGAGTTCACTCACTCGACAAAAAGTGACACAACAGCGGGGCCCTGTTTACTAAAAATGAACACATGTGTTCATTTTTAGTAAACAGGGCCCCGCTGTTGTGTCACTTTTTGTCGAGTGAGTGAACTTAAATCCATCCGTGCACTTCACGCTAACTTGAAAGTACCCATTAATGAGTAAAAAAAGAACCATTTTGAAGAAAAGTGGCTTAACTCATGAAATGAGTAAAACCTATTTTACTCATTAATGAGTATTCAGCGAATACGTCAAAAAAATGGGTACTTTTCATCCATCATGTTTTTTCTGCACATGAGTAAAATGTACCCATTTTATTGATTCGTTTTTTTTGCTCCAGGCTGCTGTCAGCAAACGTGTTAAAAAAAATTCAAATCAAAAAAATACTTCATATTCTTTATTGCACATAAACACTTAATCATAATCACAATACATATTACATAAATAAGTAGAATTTACCCATAGGCAGGGTTGCAGACATTCAAGCTTAGTATTTTCCCTCAGAGCGGTTTCACATTCGGTCCAGATCACTGCTGGGAGCTGTCCACGAGGGATGCTACTGATCGAACTGACCCTTCCGCATGTAAATCACATTTTAATCACAGATGATTTTCACTTACCTAAAACGGAACACATTTGTAGAACATATACAATTTACATCATAATTGCACTTTTAATATTTACCTCGTAACAATAGGTACCAGATCGTGTCCAGATCTTCGCTATTCGGGGTTTTTCGGCTTAACTCTCATCATCTTTCTGTGTCTGATAGTAAAGAAAAAATTAATCACCCGGCCGTAGCACTATTTCCAATAAACTTTTCCACCTCAATAAGCATTAGCCGGAACAAACTAATATATCCATTGGACCTCCGTCACATAATCGCAGTACTCGTCTAAATATTTTAAATGTGATTTTTACCGATTTGCACGCAATATAAAAATGATTAAACATTCTGTCCTGCGCGTCCAGTTCTTTAGAGATGTCTTGAAGTTAATTGAAGACACATATTTAACCATTTTAACAGTAGAATATATTTTCAAAAATGGGGAAAAAGTACCCGCTTTTCGTTTTTGAATAATACCCATTTTTTGACAGTTTTGAATAACTTAAAAAAATGAATACAAGAAACTCATTTAATGGGTACTTTCGAGTTAGCGTGTTGTCTATTTAACAGCGATATGTTTGTTGGCGTTTATTTTGGTTGGCATTTTCTGTGAAACTTTTACTAGACATTTTATTAAAATCCCACCGTAATAGGGATACAAATTCTTGGAAATGGAGTCCAAGGATGACGACTACTGGAACGACTCCACCAACAAATCGTTCAACTTCGATGAAGATGATGTGAGTAATTAAATTCCCAGTTCATGCTTGGCTTGTGCTGATCGTTCTGTTTACAACGCAAACAGGTGGCCGTTTTGGAAATTCCATCCGGCTCCAGTAACCGACGCAGCTTGTTTGGCGAGGATACCGCGTCGGAGGTCAACTATGCCAGCGTTCAGAATGAACTCCCATTACACATGATAATCTCTGAGGAAGATCTGACGTCTATTATGGAAGATCAATCCAGGAATGAGATGCCCGTGCCGAAGGGAATCAGTCTGGAAGAAGAGGTGAAATTGCTCCGAAAGAAGCTGCAGGATTTTAGCTATGCACCGTCGGCTTTGTCGGTCGTAGCCAGGTTGATACTGGGGAAACCCTGTTCGTTGGAAATGTTCCGATCGCTGCAGGAGAAAGAAGAACTCCTGGACGAGGCTGTGGCCTGTGGGAATGGGAATGCGATGTTGAAAGTTGTTCTCTTTTTGGAGAATACTTTGAAGAAGAAACTGTTTCATCGGTTCCTTCAGACCAGACCAGAAGCGGTTAGCCACTACGTAAATTATATGGCACTGAGACTAAAGGTCACCGAGTGTACGGATCTGTTGACGTAAGTTGCTGGGAAAATTGTTAGATGTTTGAAATGACTACAGTTTTTTTGTTTTTTTTTCAGATACCTTGGAAGGCATCACGAAGCAAGTGTAAGTTATTTTGATTCCATAACTGTTGCTTAATGAGCTGGATTAAATCTTATTCTTCGTAAAATGTTTCAGTTGTTGCAGTTTTCAATCTACGTTAGAAGCACATCCAACATTGAATTCAAACGTCAAAGATTGAAAAAGATCTACAGTGACTATTTCTCTCAACCAGGGGCGAACAGCTTCTACGCCCAACTCGTGGCAAACTACATCAATTTACTAGGTATTTCTGGAACCTTCTAAAATATATTCAGTTTCCATTGAACAAAGATTTAACTTTTCAGAACTCCAAGTAGCGGAACAACACTCGAATAGTTCAACATCTGGATCGATCTTGGACCAATCCGTACTGGAAACCCTGTACTACATCTGCAGTCGATACAAATGGGGCGATACGTCTCTTCAAACGAACGAGAATCCTTTTAAGTTGGCCGAAGCCCACCACGTGGGACAGTCCCAGTTCGAGTGGATCGCCCTGAACGAACGGGCAAAGCGGCAGGCATGGTTGGACTTTGAGCACATCTTCGAGAAGAAAGCGTGGCTCAATCTAAAGCAAAAGTCCTTCAACATTCACATTCCAATCGACAAGACGATACTGAGGTTGTTTGCCCTGCATGCGCCGGATCCAGTGTTGAATAACTTTCTCGTCAAAGTAGAGGATCCTCAGCGAAGACTAGCCCTGGCAAGAAGAGTAAATGCGAAGCGAGGGATAGTGGACGCATTGGTGGCCTTGAAAGACCGATCGGAGCTGGACAGTTTTGCTCAGTCACTGGAGAGTGGTACCGAAGAGAAGTACTACGCAGACAAAGCCCTGAAGTCATTGGTACGTACACACGGTCATTGAATTGATACATATATAACCGATCCATTAATTTCTACCGTGCTTTTAGAACACTAAGTGGAAAAGTGATGCGATCAAGCTGATCAAATGAAAGCCCTCTTTATTTATTAACGTCTAGTTCATATATTTTATACATTTTTAATTTTTTTCAATGCGGAATGTGGAAGATCTCTGCCGTAGAAGTGTATCACATCCCATCATCAGATTGAATTGATGTACATTTTGATTTCCTTCACAATTGCCTCGTCACAAACGAGAAAATCTTCACCATCATCCGCATTGCCACCCATCGAAAGGGAGCTTCGGTTCTTGGGGTTCATTTTCATCGATCGAGCCGAAGCATGAATTGCCTTGCAGTCAGTTTTTTGAACTATTTCCTGTGCATTACCAGGTGACACTCCCGATCCAGGCATGATGGTTAATCGAGATCGATCAGTGTTCTGTTTGTGCGTAAGAAACAAAATTGTTATCATACCCAATCAAGATGCTTATGTCGTACCTACATATTCGACGAATTTAATCATATCCATCAGATTATCGATTCCCTTGACAGCTGTACTTTCAAACCCACTAGTCAGAACCGTGGTAAACCCTAACGACTCAATTAGTGTCAAATTATCCAACATCTTGCTCCGATCGGTACAATCAAACGCTCTGTGAAAGGTAACCGGCTTCTTAAGTTTCAATGCCTCCACCATTACCATCGTGCAGTACTCCGGATGAACTTCCCCAGAATCGTTCAACGCTCCAAACACAAACCCGTCGGCGCCGTTCTCAGCCAGCAGGGCCAAATCGTGCAGCATAATCTTCATCTCAGTCTCACTGTAGCAAAAATCACTTCCCCGGCGACAGCGTATCATCGCGTACAGCTGCACCACCGAGTTTTGATAGTTGTCCTGGATGAAATTTCGTATCTCCCGCAGTAGTCCCACCGATGGAGTTAGTCCGCCTTCGCTCAAGGCTGCGCACACTTCCAGACGATCTGCTCCGCCACGGATTGCAGCCGAGGCAGACTCGAAGGAATCGATACAGATTTCAAGCAGCGGGGCCATTGTTGGCTTGACAATTGAATTTAAACAAAAAACAAATCCTGTGAGCACAACACAAACATAAAGACATCACATAAAAAAGCAATCATGTCGTCTTGGCAGTACCATATTGTGCCATCTAATATAGGTTTAGAACTTTCAAAAGAAACATTAGGTATTTAATGCGGTCAAACCACAATGGCATAATTATATGCATCGCTTTGTTCAGTGATATTATGAAAGATAATTCCACAATTCTGAGAAGAGGGGTTGCTAGAAAAACAGAAAAAAAGCGCCGAACAGCGAATGACAGCCATAAATATATATATACGTATACGCTTTTTTAGGATTTTTTTAGCGGTTCAAACATTATTAAGGTACTACACAACAAACAATGAAAGCTGAAAAGAGGCTGTTCATAAACTGTTTTATATAAACTATTAGGTCACACCGGACTCTGAGCCAGATGATGGAACAGTAGCATCAAGCACCAAGGTTGAAGCAAGGTGAGTGGGTTGCATGGACGGCTCAAAAGATACTGACGAGGATGACGGAAAATGCCACAATTCAATATTTTTCAATTTTGTTTTTATTAGTATCATATAAAACAAAAAATATTCGTAAAAATCAAAACAATGAACTTTATGTTTGAAAAGAAATAACATTAAGTTTGCTGAACCACGTTCTCATTTTAAAACAAGATAAAGTTCATCATGAACCACCATATTCTTAATTTGACAGTTCTGCAATTTCATTTCAAAAGTCAAAACTTTTAATTTGACATTTCCAAAAATTTAACCATAAAAGTTTTGACTTTTAAAATCAAACGATTCAGAATTTTTATTTTAATTGTTCATCATGTCTTTTGCAATTGAAAGTTTCTGACTTTCTACCAAAAAGAACCTATGCAAACTTTTATTTCTACCAATGGTTTTTTTTTTTAATTCTATTATAACGTTTATTTTTTGTGTGTACGGATAAACATATACATCAGTGCTGAGATTTGTCATTGTCATTGACAGACTTTTGCGCGATATTGACAAAATTGTTTGTCACATAGTCAATGATAGACTTGATCCTCAAAAAAATCTTTGTCAAAATCTCATTCAGTTTTTCGTCAATGACAAAGATTCACCTGGTAACAGAAAGGGTAATTTCTTGCATTCTGAGTCACATTATTGTTATCCAAGCTGTTCAGGACGTAGATGCTTGTTCACTTTAATGGCTCCATGTGAATGTTTTCCTCAAGACATTTAATTTCATTTTAAATTTAGCTAATAAACAAATCAGCACATGTTCGTCACTGACAAAAATGCCACTGACAATTGACATGGTTTGCCTTAACGATGACTGTTAGCTCAAACGAGTGACCAAAGCAGAATTTTGATTATCACCGTGTATTGTCGAAATTGTGCAGCACTGATATACATACACTTTTTTGGAATTTGTATGTAGACAATTGTCAAAATTGAACTAAAATAAAGCTCGAAAGTCTGACTTCCGATTTCCGGAACTACTTCCGGCTTTTACGGAAATCATGACTTTTACATTGTTGTTGTTAACAATATCGATAGTTCATTTGCAATGCTACCAGTCTCGTCGGAAGTCAATTCATCAGCGATATACCTACATACATATAATTTTTATCTAAATGCACAAAGGCCCATCCAAATATTACGTAACGCAAAAGGGAATGACAGGCTACCCGGCAATGCGATAAATGCAGATAAATTTCACATAGGTATTCAAAGTGTTTTTATGTTACTTCATACGCGAAGTTTGCGATTTTCAGAGTTGGTTGGAAATGCGATCTAACACGAAGCTTTAGTGTGATAATTTATTAGTTAGAGAAAAGTCTTAGAATAGGGTAGGTAGATAGTTCCGTTAGAGTACGGCGGTATGAAAATTGAATAGAAGTTGAAAATGAGCGAAGGGCCATTAATGGGACAGTGCAATTTTCTATAAATGATCTTTCCTTTTTCTCTTTCTCTTTTTAATTTTTTTCACAAGTTTGAAGCTTTTCTTAGTAAAACACTCTTGAAATTTTACCTCGAAAAAATGAGAACTCACTCTACAATTCTTTTTGAATACTTTACAGCTTATTTGAAAATTTTCCAAAAATATCCATTTGTATTGTTCAGATGACGCATTGTTCTCAGAAAAATTTAAGAACATCACATTTTTATTGATGAGCCTAATCTTTAGATCCATAGCCATAGGTCAACATTAGAGCCATTTCTCCTATCTCTGAATTTCCTTGGATGTCTTCTTCTCGGAACTTATGGGGTACTATTCCTATATTTCACGAGTATTGTTTTTAACTTTATTTGTTCCAAATTAAAGTTAAATTACATTTAATTTTAGTCTAGGTGATCCAGCTAAAGCCTGGTACGCAGCTGAAAGGAAATCAGAAAAGTATTTTTTGAGATTTATTCCCAACAGAAAATTTGACAGCTATAGGAAGGTGTCTGTTGCCTAATTTTGAGATCATAGCGTGGTGTCATGAAATTGTAAAATCAACAATAATGAGTTTTTATAGCCTGGTGCGCAGCTGAAAAGTAATGACGTTTTTACGTGCTACGGGATAGGAAACGGAATGCTAAAGAAATTACTTTTCATTAGCATTTCTTGACCCAGTATGCAGTTCAAAAGAAATTGGTAAAGGAAAGATCGATTATATTGGTATCGTGAACGACATGAAGGTGGCGTATTCCAAATTAAATTTCACTTTCCTTGCGGAATAATGATCTGATCAATTGTTCCGCTGGGTAATGTTGGCGTTTGTTGCAAAACTGATGTTTTGGATGCATTTTGAGCATGAGCATGATTGACCGCCCACGGTTGCTACTCTGTTATTGCCAGACCAGCTGTAATTACACAGAACCAATAGACAATGCTTGGGACAAGCAATCATCCTCAATGTGTAAAACTGGTGATTCCAAATTAGGCAATACCAGCGCCAGCCGCGCCTGAACGCATGTTAAGAAAGGAATGGGTAGGAATGTGTTGACGTGACACTCGTTTTGATGGAAGCCGAGAACACCTCTGCACGGAATGTTGTTGATGTTGGGATGTTGGGTAAGAGGGTTGGGTTTGTAGCAGGGTTCGTTTTGGTAAACGATAAGCTTAATTGATGTCCTAACGATCATATAACGCGAAGGAGCTTGGGATTAACCCCCGGTCTTCTGCTCAGTAAGCAAAAATGTTTGCCACTAGGCAGAGGAGCTCCTTTTTAATCATCGAGTTGCTGTTATTACCATGTAGTCATGTTAACAAATAAAACGATTGGCGAATCTTGAATGTGGATAGGCTTGAGATTAGACTCATGGTGTTCTGCTCAGTAAGCAAAAACGGTTGATCTAAGGCCACCGAGCCCCTCATATCACATTATACCGAGGGGGTGACTCTATCCAAGATGCAGGAATTTTGTTGCTTTGCTGTTGTGAGATGCACTCGCACTTAATAGATACCCGAAAAAAAATAACAAAAATACAATAAAAAACAATGTAATAATAAGACGAAAATTATTGTCTTAACAATGATTTATATTGTTACGTCTACAATAAATTTACCTTGATTTATGTTGTACAAAACAATAAATTTCATGGTAAATGGAAAATTTACAATAAAAAAGGGGGGTTGTTAAGTATCTTAACAATGAAATTTTCATGATTTTCCCATATATTTTTTTTTCAATAACATTATATATTATTGTTATTTTACTGTTGGTTGGCGAATTTATTGATTAAAAAAAATAACAGTGTACTTTAGAGTGTATGTGTTGGCTTGACAGATCTACTTTATCGACTTTAAAAATAAATCGAAAAAATAAAACATTGCCCCGGGAAGGGAAGGGGGTGGGTATGTCTGTTACGGGTGGTCCTTTTTTTACTGGTTATGGATCGAGATTCGATCCGGAACTTGTGAGAAATGCAGGCCCCTGCGCTCGATATCCCTAGGTCACGTCTCCTTGGTGGTTGAGCGTCGTTGATAAGTTAATGCATTCGACTGGAGAGAATCGCCCATGAAATATGCTTCCACCTGAGAGTTCCTTCATGACATCTTCAAGTGGTGGAATTTTTTATTATTATTGTATGATTATTGACTGCACGGAAAAGGTCTCCATTAAGCTTTAGAGAGGGTCTAGGATAAGATATGAGCGGACGCGGACTGCCTGGTTTTGAGCCAAACGAACTGTCAAAGCCAGAGCCATACGAGCAGCGCCTATCTTAATTACATTAGCAGTGTTGCTGACCCTCTCATAGTCTGCATGCTTCAATCAGATTTATTTTTATTGTTCGTGAAGTAACCCACAATGAAAATACACCAATATTTAATGTAACAACAATTTTTATTGTAATAGAGTTGTTCATTATTGTTCATGATCGAATCATGTTAACAATAAAATAAATGAAAAATACGATAAAAATCATTGTAACAACATTTTATTATCATTCCACATCGAACGCTCGACTGTTTCGGTCAAGTATTGCTTGCACTCCGTAATCGGTACTAGTTTTTTTCCCCTATTGAGGTTTTTTTTTCAATCCGCTTTCATACTGAGTGGTGTTGTAGTATACAACAGTGCAGTGAGCATCGCGGAATTGTAATTGCCGCTCAATCGTTCGAGAAAGGAAGCAGTCATTTCCGGCCGAGTCCGGCAGATGAGCTGTACATCTCTAACCAACAAGTTTCATCGCATCACGAAACGGCAAACTCAAGGTCATCGAGTTCACCAGCCGGCGAGCCAGCCGGTGCTTTGTTGCAAACACTCGAGGGCAACAATAGAACGATCATCACCATCATTCTCACATCAGGATAGATCATCGTCATCAGCCACACTCCGTGCGCTTGTGTGGAGAGTTAAGTAACAAACGGTTATCTTCCGTTCTCCGCAACCTGATTAATCTCCATACAGTGTAGATTAACTTTTCTGACACTGTTTTTTCCTGAAAAAATTTTCATTTTTTTTTTTTTTTCTCTTTTTTTTTCATTTACTGTTTTTTTTTTGCAAGTTGATTAATCTCCCTATAGTGTTGATTAACTTTCCTGGCATTATTTT